ACCCGGGGCCTTGGTGTTATCAGCACCGCACTCTCCCTAGTGAGCCACGGGCCGGCCCTCTCCGCAGCTTTTTGAAGCCCCCTCGCACTTTGTGCTCTCTGCAACCTGCTCACAGGCTGCTCCCTCTGGAGCAAGAGTTCTCCTCCCACCCACCTTCGCCGGCCCTCCTTCCCCACCTACTCTCATCATCCAGGTCAGAAGTTGGCACTTGAACAGCCTGCAAAGGAAGAATGTTTTTTACATTTTTAAATGGTTAAAAAAGACCGAAAGGATAATAATATTTTGTGACGTGAAAATCATATGGCATTCAAATAGTGTCTATAAACACCGTCTTATTGGAACACAGCCGCCCATTTGTTTTTGTATTTCCTATGGCGTCTTTAGCATTACAAATAGCAGAGCGGAGTAGTTGTGACAGAAATGGTATGGCCCGAAAAACCTAAAATATTTACTGTCTGGTCTTTGATAGAAAAAGTTTGCCAACTCCTGCTCCAGAGTCATAAAAAAAAAAAAATTATGTGAGCTTCAGTTTTCCCACTAGGAAAATGAAGATGATAACTGTACCTACTTCATGGAGTTGCTGTAAAGATTAAATATGATGCTGCGTAAAAAGTGAACAGCCAAGACCCAGGTTAAGATCAATAAATAGTAGCCAGCACTATTATTATTAGCCAAAAAATGTTGGTCTGAGACAGAAAAGCCTGCGTTTGTTTTTCAAATTCCTCAGTCAGCCAATTCCTATCAAATTCACCATATGGTTAATTGACCTACATGCTCTAGACAAATGAATAAAATTATAAAAAAATAACTCAGTGCATTCACTTAGATAATTTAAAAGTTACAATGATCAACATTTACATCTTGGGATTCATTGTGTTCTACCAATTCAAAAATAGGATAACAATTTTTTTTTTTAAGGAAAATAAGATGAAGTCTGTCTGATTATATCATTTTTATTGGAAATCAACATTACAGCCAAGGTAGTAAGCACAGAAGAGGGAGGCACTAGACTTCTTCTAGAACAGAAAAATAGTGAGAAGTACATAAAACAATAAAGAAAATAAAGATGGAGAGGGTTTTCCATTCTCTCTCTCTCTCAGGTAGTGTTTAATTAAATACGATTGTTGTTCTGTAACTATCAAAAAAAAGAAAGAAAAAGAGAAAAGAAAGATGGAGTAACACCACCCTCCTGGGGCAGGTCAAGAACTAGGAGATAAATTAAGTCTATGTGGGAGTCAGCAGTCTGGAGACCACCTACCTACCATGGAGACAGTATTTTTTCATTCCTTTTTCTCTCCCTCACAC